ATTTTTTTTACATATCAAGATATTAACATTTCGACATGCACATTTTTTCAAAGTAAATATTTAAAATATAAAATATATACTATATAAATATCTGATAGTTATATTACTTGATTTATTTTTTGAAATTAACTTCTTGTTTTAAAGATCAAAATTTATATATTATAGATAGATCAAATATGAAACTAAAATTCATTAGATATATAATTTAAAAATATAAAAAATACAAACTTAGAAACTTTAAAGAAATTGACTTCTCTTTCTTTTTCGAAAGGGCCAATATACGGTTAAAGTGGTTAATCAGAACTTATTAATGTTTTTTATTTCGTGGACTCCAGGTGTCCATTGTGGCAGCTCATGTTATTGATACATTATTATGGGCCTGCAGCTAGCCCTGTTTCGATTCGTAGTTTCCCTCATGCGAAGTAATGGGCCTTATCGCTAACGTAACCCTGGGATAGTCTTGTTTCATAAATTAAGCACATCCTTCAATGAAATTTGTTTTATTTGGTCTCTCTCTCTCTAGATATATGTATCTTTAAATACAAAATTATTATTCACAAGATAAATGACATTAAGAGTATTACATATGTCTTTAGCACAAAAACAATATTTAATTCTATCATATATATCATCATTTAAATAATTTATTAAAATTTGCATTGTTCTAAGATTTAAGGAAAATTATTTCTTATCATGAACATTTAAACATTGAATTGATTTGGAAGAAAAGTCTTTAAGGAGAACAATTTATAAAAACAAATTAAATAAATGTATATAAATTTTCATTTTGCACTTTCAATAATTTAGATCTTCACTATTAAAGAATGGGGGCTTATCATATTTAAAACTTTTTGGGGATTGGTTCAAGCAGTACATGTTTTATTCCGCTTAAACAAGGTATTGGGTTCCTCAAATAGAATTGTTTCTCCTAGAAGATATTTGCGGTATATTCAATTTTTTTTTTTAAAACTTTCTGTTTTGAAATTTTTTCTAAAGGTAGCTACAACAAGAATATTTAACTCGGTCATGTTGTTTAGGAATGTGGCTACAACAAGAATATTTTGAAATTTTTTCTAAGCGGTAAAGTTTTAAATAGATGATTAAACTCTAATAACATTCATTAGGAATATGGCTTTCATATTCAAGAGAGATAAATTGAGCATTATAATTTTTTTTGCAAATGCTTCATTCTTGTTTCCAAATTACTTTTTGATGCTCACTTTGATATATGAAAAACATAATAATATATTCAACAATTCATTATAGGAGATTCGATCGGTCATGTTGCTAAAGGAGAGATGCGGTTCTGCAGACACAAAATTTTGTGGGACCCACCATTTTAATAAAAAAAGAAAATAGAAAAAACTTGCACGTTTTTCTACGGGTCAATAGCAGGATGACTATTGTTTCATGCAACATTATAATTGCATTTTCCTTCATTATATAAAACTTTTACAAATAAACAACCTACGTCGCTTATATAAGATATCAAATGAGTATATCACTTGCTATTAAATATAGTTAAGAGTTTATAAGATTACAAACTCTATCTATCTTGGTTCAACCACCACTTGAGACATACATCCAAGTTATAAGCAAGTCACTCAAATTTTTTTTACTATTTGTCAAGCTTCAATGGGTTGTTGAACAAATTGCTATAATCCCCAAACTTTTGTGGGTCATTGGGAACCTTACAACTATCTCCAAAATTTCTTAGTGTTTTAAAACCTCACATTGCTGGATCAAAATACCCTCAATTTGAAAAATTAATCGAAAAAGTATTTGAAAATAAATATGCTCTGAAAGTGCGGATAATAGAAATTAAAGCTCTATGAGCATATGATCTTTCGCAAAAAAATGAGTTCAAAGACTTTAAATGATTATGAGTGAGTAATACTCTGTTGAATGTAATAAAACTGCTCAATAATGTCTTAATAAATGTCTCAAGATTGTTTAGGTTCGTAGGGATTTGTAAGCTCACAACAAAATAGTCACTTATAGTCGCTGAAACACTTTTGGAAAAAGCATATAAAAAAAATCTATCGGCCATATATGAGGATACGACCCTCCACATATTAGGATATACATGTCCAAATATCAGGATTTGTGTTCAAGTATCAGGATATATGCCTTCATACATCTGGATATGTGGCTTTATGTATTTGAATATTTCATAACAACAAGCATATTTTACTTCGAAAATGTTTTCCTTTCCATTAAAACCTTTTTAATATTTTTTTTACATGTAATTGACTATTGAAAATATGTTTATAAGTTCAAAACATTTTAATATACTTTCCATCTATTTTTGAAATATTTATCCAAATATTTCCTACATTTTAAAAATATGTCATTAGAAAAATACTTTCAATACATACAACACAATTCAACATATACCCTTTCAATTAAATCCAAGTCCTAAAAATATAATCTAATAGGGATAAGTGGACAACTACTTAGCTTTATAAATTGATATCTAGATATTGAATCTTCTTTTGAACTTAATGTTTGATTTGTTGAATTTGACAATACCTTGATGCTTTGTTATACTCGATATATACACTCTTTAACTATGGCTTGTGACATTAAGTCTCTCTTGAAAGTTGTCATGGTGTGTTGCCTTTGGTATTTATTTTGCTCTTCTAATTCTTCTTTGCTATATTCAAAACTTATCCATGTTGTTGCCATTTTGTTATCTCATTATTCTTCTTGTACAACTCCATTATATATCTTTCATCTTTACATATAGTTGATGCTTTTTTCTTTTTACCAAAGTCCTAATCTCTTTATTGTTTTATCTTTGTTATCATCAAAACATAACTTATATCAATATAGGCCTTCAAGACTTTCTGTTTTCCTTTGCGCAGAATTTTCTCTTTTTTTCATTCACCAAGACTTGAATTCAAAATTTTATTTAAATGAAATCAAACATGTACCACTTGAACCACTACTTTAGTTGAATGTATTAAATTTATAGAAACACATAGTTCGACCTTTACTTTTAATGAATATGTCGATAACGTTAATAAGCACTATTAGACTACATGCAAATGACAATATTAGGAGATGTGACAAGTGCTTTTTCTCGTCTTCAAGACTAGACTTTCCGAATTTTAGTTTCTTATAAATTAAAATATTCAACTAATGGCTCTCATGCTACTTAGGAAATATTGAGCCCATTTGGACGATTTTTTTTTTTTAAATAAAAATATTTTTTTACTTTATATATGTAGTTGGATGTAACTTTTGAAAAACAAATTCAAAAAAAGAAGTCTTAACTTTCTAGAAGAACAAACAGATTAAGCAGGAGAAAAAGAGAAATCATGTCCAAATTAAGTAGAGGAGGAGAAGGAATGCAAAAACCCATCCAATAAGAGAATAAAGAAAATCCGCTGTAATGACAACCGGCCAATGTTCAGAATAGATATAATTGAATTTATAAAAAGGTTATACTTGTTTATTACTTTTTTTATAACCATTAGACAGTGATATCTAAAACATTATGAAAAGAGGAAGTTAAATGAGAGAGTGAAGGATATTATGGAAGAAAGAGAAAACAATTTATATCAAATGATAACTATTGATTTGATTTTATCTGACAAAAAAATAATAAAAAATAATAAACTTAGTTAATAATAAATATAACATCTCTCTTGAGCTATATAAATCCTAGTTGAGACAATTGTTATTCAACGATCGTCAACAATTGTTGATATTATAATTACTTTATTTGGGCTCAACTCGACATAAGTAGTGTGGCCCATCTCCATCTTATAACCAAGACTATTAGTTCGACTACATTAAGCGGCGATATGACAATAAACTGTTATGGTATGACCTAAGTAGGGTGTAAATGGATTAGGTTGATCTACAGGGACTTATGATCCAGCCAATATTAGATCAGACTTGACTTATTACAAATAGTAAAACAGAAAAAGGCCTAGATTTTAAAAAAAATTTATTTAGAAAATAAGCTATAGACTTTTTTTGTACATATCGGGTTTATAAGCCTACAGGCCGGCCTATATCATATTATTTATTTAAATAAAATTATTATTTTAATAATTTTCAATAATAAAATAATAGGGAAAAGTTCACCAACGCCCCTGTGGTTTGCTTCAGAATCACCTATGCCCCTGTGTTTTTTTTTATCACATATGCCATTGTGCTTTGTAAAAATTAAAAAACCACAGAGGCATATGTGATAAAAAATATACCCTTTTGCAAACCACAGGGGCATATGTGATAGAAAAAAATCACAGGGCATAGGTGATTCTGAAGCAAACCACAAGGGCATTGGTGAACTTTTTCCAAAATAATATTATTTTAGTTATTCTCTTAATTGTTGAATGTTTAATAAGCTTAAACAGACTAACAACCTAGACCAAAGCTTTTATATTTTAAATATAGGTCATGTGATACTTGTAATTTGAGGCTTACACAGACTAATAGGTCAGGCCAGATACAACAATTTTTACAAAAACTTAGTTTATTTAAGTCAAAGTCTAATAGAACCTAATAACCTGACTCACTTCAAACTCCTATTAGGAATAACGAAAGTCACGGTATAAAAAATAAAAAATAAAAAATAAAAACATTAAATAACAAACAACAAGAAAAATGGGTCAGATTGTTCATTGTTGGTTCAGTTTATGCATGACACGAAAAGGGCATATAAGATTTACGTATCTTTGTTAAGCCAAGTACCCACTCATCTAGTTTGGAAGAATCAAACTCTTGCGACTTGCTTGAGTATTCAACTGTAATAAATCGTGCCGCGAATTGTTTAATTCTTGAATATTTAGACAACAAAGTTATATATATACGCATGGATCCAAATAATGGTTTTGAGTTTTGTTTGTTTGGGTAGGTAAAAATCAACCGAAAAGATAACCCCACACGCAGTGTTAAAATGCGGGTCCCGATACCGGCAAAGCTAACTACGTAAAATCGCGAATTGGGTTAACAAACTAAACAGATTCTGTACTCTTCAAAACCAAACAAACAGTAACTCTAACCGAAGCAAAGGCTTTTTAGTTACGATGGCGGCGTCACGAATCATAGCCCATCCTCCACCTCATATCCACCGTCAATCTCCGCCGTCAGACGCCGTTAATTCGCTAGCTTCCTTCAACCTCAAATTTCACCCAAAACGGTACCGTAACCTCGGCATTCGCGCTTCCCTTCGGGGCCACAAGGAGAACGATCTCGACGACAAAGCTCGCTCTGTCGAATTGCGAACCAGCCCCGACGACGCCGTTTCGAAAGATCCGTTCGTTCTTCCGCGTATGTATTCCACGCTTTTCGCTTCACCTCTTTTTTCTCGCGGTTAGATTTTGATATAGAGCTTTTTCTTGCTATTCATGTTAGGGCCTTTGTCATCGACTCATTTCTCTGGTTCAGTTTCCGATGGTTCTCGCCTTCGTGTTGCATATCAGGTACTTGCATGCGTGGCATTTTTAACAATTTTGTATTTGTCTCTTTTGTTTTGGCTTCGTGGAATAAAAAACCCTCTTTGTTTATGTTGTTCATGATTTCACATAGCTGAAATTTTTTCATTTTCAGGGGGTTCGTGGTGCTTACAGTGAGTCAGCTGCACAAAAGGCATATCCAAATTGTGAAGCTGTGCCTTGTGAACAATTTGACGCTGCTTTTGAAGTAAAATTTTAGTTGCCCTTTTGTTCTTTTCTAGTACTATGTTACCTCTTTCTAAGTTTCTTTATCAATTTCCCTTGTTATTGTTTGTTACTTTGGTGATTTATATTGTTTACACTTCTAAATTAGATCTACACCGTTTTACTTAATGGATTTTTCATTGTAAAGAACCACTTCAACCCAGATCCTTAAGGTGTTAGTTGATGACCTTTTTAATGGTTTATATTATTCTCTAACACACCTCCTCACGCAAGAGCCATTTTAATTCCACTAGAAAGTGGGAGGCGGTGAGGATCGAACTCGTGACCTTATGGTCACTGAGGCTCTGATACCATGTAAAGAACCACTTCAACCTAAAATCTTAAGGTGTTGGGTGAGGGCCTTTTTAATAGTTTATATTATTTTCTAACATTCATGTTACTTTGATGTCAGTTTTAGTGTTTCGCTAGGATAAGTGGCATGTCCTCTAGTAAGCTTGATTAGTTTATGTTGTATTGGCTCTAACTCTGTTACTCTGATTGTTTTGTGTTTACAGTTCTACAAACTTAAAATTCAAAATTACACATTCTAGTTCTTAGTTCTTACTTTTTGATTATTGTTTTCTTATCATGGTTACCTTTTTAAGATAATGGTTTACAAGAGGTTTAATTCTAACTGTCTCTGATCTCTTTATTTCTCTTGATCTTGATTTGCCACGCTAGTCTGTTGAAAGGTGGATTGTGGACAGGGCAGTTTTGCCAATTGAGAATTCTTTAGGAGGAAGCATCCACAGAAATTATGACCTTTTACTCCGGCACAGGTTGCATATAGTAGGAGAAGTTAAATATGCGGTCCATCATTGTTTGATGGCCAACCATGGTGTTAAACTTGAGGATTTGAAGCGGGTTCTTAGTCATCAACAGGTGTGATTCTAACATCTTATACCTACTTTTTCCTAATCACAAACTCATCCAAGACTGGTCATGTTTTAGGCTCTTGCACAATGTGAGAACACGCTGACAAAGTTAGGATTGGTCAGAGAAGCAGTTGATGATACAGCTGGTGCCGCAAAGGTAAGTGTAGAATCATTGGAGGTTGTTTTTCTGATATCATTTCAGGTGTTTCCGTTGATTAATGGTCACACTTAAATTTTTGAGGTACAATGATCATGGCATCGTTGGAACCATACCCACTTTTTGTGGTTAAGAAGTATGCTTCTCTCCTTGAGATTTTAGAGCAGCTTATGTAGTTAATTTATATAAATTGGTCAACCTAAGTCAAATTCTGATCCGCTTGGAAAACTAGAAAAATCTTATCATCTCCTGAAGACATGATTAGATATTGCACCTTGGGGTAAAGGATTGAAATTCAATTTTGACTGCTACTGTGACTTGTTTTTCAATATCGCTTATCCTAACACAGTTACAAATTATAGCATGTTGCCTTCCACAAACTACAAGATGCAGGAGCAGTTGCTAGTTCTACTGCTGCAATTATCTATGGCTTGAATATACTTGCTCGAGACATTCAGGTTTTCCATGGCATCAGCGTTAACTTTACATGGTTGACAGTTCATGTTCATGATAGATTTGATCACTAATGGATTTGCGTTGGCAGGATGATAGCGATAATGTCACCCGATTTTTAATGTTAGCGCGGGAACCTATAATTCCAGGCACAGATAGGCCATTTAAGGTACCCTTGACTAGAATAAATAGCTGAAATTACTCGGTTGGTTTTATGCCTACTTACATATCAATATTGAATATTGCTGTTGATTGTGGTGCTGAATTCTCAGACAAGCATAGTTTTTTCTTTAGAAGAGGGTCCTGGGATCCTTTTCAAGGCCCTTGCAGTTTTTGCTTTGCGTCAAATTAACCTTAACAAGGTTCGTTGTCTTCTTGGCATCAGCTATTATATCATTTGTGGAAGTTACATTTGCAGGTATGCTTACTAGGTGTTCCTTATTGTACAATTGATTTGTTTTTCCCACAGATTGAAAGTCGTCCTTTGAGGAAGCAACCTCTACGAGCATCTGATGATAACAACAATGGGTATTCCAAGTATAACTACTGAAGGCCATGGCTACCGTTTTTTTTCTGAGCTTGTTTAACTTAATTAGTTCAATTCATCCTTATTATTGTATTTACAAAAAGGTTGGATTGTTAATAATTGTGCTGATCACAATTCATATCTTATATACAGGTGCTTTGATTATCTTTTCTATGTTGATTTTGAAGCCTCAATGGCTGATCAGAATGCACAAAATGCCCTAAGGCATCTAAAGGTTTCTTTAATTTAATCTTGTGAAGCATATTGAAAGGATTATCTATGCGTAGACACTCTAAAACCAATACACTTTACAGGAGTTTGCTACATTCTTGCGAGTGCTAGGAAGTTATCCTGTGGACACTAGCATGGCGTAAATAATCTCCAAAAGAGGTGAGCACCTTTTATCTGAATAATTTTCCTGGAGATTAGTTTAGCAAGTTTACTGAATGTGAATTACCTCCAATTGTAGAACTTTGTAACTATACATTGATTGTTATTGTAGATTGCATGGAGCTTTATCCATCATGCACTAATGAATGAGATAGCTGGCATACATTTGATCCAAGCCTTTTTTGAATACCGTGTCAAATAATCTAAATTTGGAGGAACAGCTAATCCTTGACCATTTTCAAAGTGTCACAATGAACTTTATCAACTCTCCTAGATTGGTTTTTTTGTGTATGAGTTTTCCGAGACCATACTACATGGTGACCATTTAGAAAATGATTCTAAGTAACGAAGAGAAGAAAGATATCCAATGTAAATAATAACGGCTTTGCTTCCCTGCTAGATGTTTATATGTCATTGCCGAATTTGTTGAAGTGACATGATGTTGCTATTGGACTAACTAGCATAAAAGGGTTGCAATATCGTTGCTCTAGTTGGCAACGTAATCGAGGTATTTAGATAGGTTAGCATGTATATGTGAAATCTGATGCATCGCTTATGCTAGCCTTTTTATTTTGGAGCTTATATTTTTCTGACCCTTTTGCTGTATGCTGTTGCTGATGCAGGACTCGCGGATATAGTTACTGTTGTGTGCGGCATAGTTCTTCCAGCTGTCAAATCATATTAATGGATATACAGAGTTTACATTACTTCAATATAGAGATAACAGAAAACCGTATCCGATGTACAAGCTCCTTAAAATTTTGATGGGTCTCCCCTGCCCTTAATGTCTGTTCTCGCAGCTAGTATTTAACACTTTGAATCCACATGTCCGTTCAAATATTTTTTTCTGGTTGTTGTCCTCTCTACCAATTCTCTCTCAGATGTTTGATGTCCATACCGAAGTGAATGATCCTTCTATGAGGACTCAGTATTCAGATTGTATCTTTAAAACAAAACGAAACACAATCGTACCTTAAAAAGAGCCTGCATACCCATTACCATTAACTATTTCTCAAGTGCTCGTGATGGACTATTTTAATTGGTGTATATCAATGCGTAATAATCTTGCATGGTTGTTGGCACACATGACACCCACATAGAGACATGATATTTGAATAAACTTTCTAGTGAAGGAATTAGAGTCAGGTTAATATCAGTAATGCAAGCATTTGAGTTCAAATTGATATCGAACAATGAACTTTGTCAAAGAAAAACTTAGGAAATGCATACTAGCAAACTAGGACAGCGGATAGCGATTAAGATGGTATTTGTTCTTTTAGCATATAATAAAGAAAGGCACACCAGACTCTTCAATCACATTGTAACAGAGAAAAAGCCTATAACTACGTTAAGGTGTGATGGCAATGCCAATTTATGCAGTTTCCAGATAACTTGCCAAGATATATTCCCATTTTTTCATATACTGCCTAACCACCATCAATATGCTAAGATCAAATTTGCTTTCATGAGTGACTGTAAGCAAAGGTCCAAATAGACTTTGCATTATTAGATCATATGTGTTCTCAATCAAGTTAGAGGAAGCTCCAATTAAATTCATGACTTCAAGTAGGAACACAGTTTTTATTCTGGAGCTGGAGCTCTCTGGTCTTGATGTCTTGATGTCTTGCCATTAAATCTCTGATCAAGGCCAGGATCTCACTTCGCATCCCAGCAACAGCAGATGGAGTAACCCGTTCCTTCATAGCAGAGAACCACATATGATTTGTATCGGTATTTTTACTATTCACATGCCAGCTGCATATCACTCTTGCTATGGCTGTGACATATAAGCCACAATCATGACCATTCTCTTGCTTGGGTGAATCAGTGCATTCCAGAAAGCTGGCCTCAGTTGCTGATCCAGAGAATCCCATGTATCCAACAACAGCTTTATAGAGTTGCTTAGCAGGTCCTGTATTCATTCCTCTACAGCTATCATGGTGAACAAATAGATTAGCATTGCGGTAGTATGCAAGTAAGCTCCAATGAGATCCACCTTCAGCTCTGTTAACATCATCATTGTCATTGATGGGAAACATAACCAGTGTCTTATCAGAAAAATGAAGGGGCTCTAAGAAATCTTTCAGAGCCTCAGTGGCAGGGCATTGTATTATCCAAAATGCGATGGATGGTGGAACCAAGAGAATAATATCCTGAGAGGGATGGCATGAAGAAAGATAACTGAAATAAAACTCAATAATTCTATCATTCAAATAATATGGACCACTAAGGATGTCTAAATCCGATCGTCTAAGCACCACATCATTGTAACTGAGAATCTTCTCATCTGCTTGTGATTTCTCCATCCCGTATACGTCTTGGTTAGATGATCACCTACTACTTTAAAAAAACCAAAAAAAGAAAAGGCATGCACATACACAGAATCAGTATTTTGCTATTCCATGCTCTAGTTTAGGTAAAACAAAAACAACATATAATACCCCTTTCCAAGCGCTTACGCAAGGTAAGTCTTACAAATGGAGGGAAAATATGAGATAAGGGAATAAACATATTGTTCAAAAGACCATTATGTCACTTGGGGTTTTTTCTGCACATTCCCATATACTTTATTATGCATAAAAAATGAATATATACTATAGCATAAATAGCCTAGCTATAAACTTTTTCAGTTCAAAGTTGGGAGATGCTCTCTTAAGACATCTAAATTTTGGGTGGAAAGAAAACTCCTCTGAAGAGGGAAATCAGGGTATATTACCCTTGAATTTTCAATCACAATGCACAGTTTACAGAAGCCTTATCCCTAAATTTCTAATGGTATTACCAATTAACTACCTTGAATCTGCAACTACAGAAAAAAGAAGAAGAAAAAACTCATTTTTCTATGAAAAAATTCTTAACATAAATCATCAAACAACCATGTGCTGCATAAGGAGTTCACAACAGATCGATGTGTTGGTATTGGATAAGAGAGGAATAGTTCTACTAGCTTTTATCATCAACATTTGATTGATTGAATCGAAGCCATATGCAATCTCGTTTCCAACTTGAAAACTATCTTAATTCTTCATCTGAAATTCTTTCACAGAAGAGTAAATCACCATTCCCTTTCTTTGAGGATAAATGATTAATCTCCAACTTCAACGAAGGAGGGAAAACCTTAAACCCAAAACTTAATTTAAAAAAAAAAAAAAAACCTAATTTTATATAGTAATGTTGGAATTTAAGGTTGAATACATTAGTATCATGAGAATAAATAGAGAAAGAATAACAAGATATCGAAAATTAAAGAAAAAAAGACTTACATATATTGAGTGAAGTCGAAAAACTGCTACGCATTCAGAAAGTTCCAGTTCAAGAACCTAGGAGAAAGTGAACGACACGCGCTTTGTTTTAGCGGGCCCGATACACATGCTTCCATTCCAAAAGTAGCAAAGGACAAGGGAGTGAGAGGGAATTTTTAAAGAAGTAAGGGACAAAAAGGGAAGCACGTTTTTTCAAAAATAAAAAAGGATCACCTTAAGGTAGTGTTTGTTTGGAGAAATTTTATAATAGTAGGGAAATGTAAATATTAGGGATCCGGAGGAAAAGTGAGTTAGATAGGAAAATTTTAAAAAAGTTGTTTGGTTGGACAAAATTTTACCAGGAAAATTGAATGAAATTTCTAAATGTGTGTTTGATTGAAGATAAAATATTAATGAAAAAACTTAACGAAATTACAAAAATATCCTTATAAAAACATGCTACCAAAGAAGCGGTTCAAGATATACAAAACGCTGAAGAAACCGTGTGTAGTTGCAGTATTAGATAGGTGGCTTTTCGAAACTGCATCATGAGAAAAGTCTGGTTATAATAGCGCCATTTGCAAAACAAAATGGATAAGTGTCCCATTAGGTAAATATGTAGTAGATTGCATTATAAATAAACATAGCTCAATGCATGAATCAAGACAATACATTCCTACAATATTAAGACCAGATCAAGCACAGTCACAAATCGGATGAACATCTCATCATTTCATCTCCATTCTACATTTCATAATCACTACCACAAGCAGAACAAAACGATGGAGTGTGGCCACATCCAAAAATTGTGTTTGCAACAATGAACAGAACATAGAAACAGAGAATGAGCCCAACGACAAAGAATCATCTTACCGAAAGCGTGTTACGAAGACAGTCACAATATAACAAGAACCCTTGTTTCACCGTTGTCTGTACCTGACCAAAAGTGTACAATCTGGAAATGACCAACTTCTACGACGGAGGGGTAAAGTTGTCTTCCATTTCATCCCATTTTCACTTACCCGCTTTTTCACAACAAAACCACCTTCACAGCCGGATTCATCAACAGTGATTATTGCTGACTTTTATTTGTTTTCATGGAATGCTAGGCAACCCTCATTGATGGGCAACAAAGATGAAATACCTGAACCAAACGTGGACAAGGATGATGCCCACATCCACTTCGCCAGGAAAATCTTAAGTTGTCCCCAACCAAACGCTACCTAAGAAAATAGTCACGGATCACTTTAAAAAACCCTGAACGACACAGCGTTTGGACACTTTCCAAATTTATATTATTTTTTATTTTTTATTTCAAATAAGATATTTTACTACCAATTAATGTTACTATCAATGTCACTATCACCGATTATGTTGATCCAATGACTATATTTATTTCCACTTTCATATGGTTATACATTAAATATGAAAAATTATAACCCTATAAAGATAAAAATAAATATAAAGTATTAAATATAAAAAAAAAGATTTAAAAAAAATTAAATCATAATCATTGAATCAACATAATCAATCTAATGATAAAACAAAATGATAGTGACATTGATATTAATAACACTAATTGATAGTAACAATATTTTACCTCTTTATTTTTGTTTCCTCGTCACTTTTCAATTTACAAATGTGGAAATGCAGAATGCCTTTCCTTAACGACATGGCAATTATAAATTCTTCTAGAGGATGTTTGGTAGAGGAGACATTTTTTTTTATCCGGAAATCTTGATTTTCAGAAATATGATAAAAATATTTAGTTTATGATAATATCTGAAAATTAAAAATGTAGAAAAATTTAATTTCCCCGAAAATTCTGAAAAATACCGGTTACCAAACGCTCCCTAGTTTGATTCTTAAACTAATATAATTTTATGAGTTTTTCCCGGAGAAAATTTATCAGATCCAGCAAAAACCAAAAAAATAAATAAATAAATATGGGATCCACGAATTAAAAAAAGAGAGGGATTTTTTATGTCAATGCAGGAGGAAAATGATTTCTCCCTGAACTCATTCCCTATTACGATAAGGTCCTTTTATCAATTTTATGTTAACGTTTATGAGGAACGAACGGCGTAATGTGGTTGAAATGTGGCTCTTTATCTTATTGCAATCTTAAACAAGCATATTAAATCAATTTTATTTTAATTTAATATATTTATTTTAAATAAAAATAGATCTACCATTGTCATATCATGTGAAATCTTTTTTTTTTTTTTTGGTAAGCTCATATGAAATCTTTTTTATAATCACTAGATCCACCTGAATCGAGCTACATTGATAATCTTATTTTTATTTATTATTTCTCTAATTTATATTTCTAAAAAAAAAAAATAGGTAAAAAATAAAAATATAATAAATAACTAAAAATAAAATAGATGACATGTGCATATTTTGTCACGCCCATAAATAATCATGTTCAAGTCACATTACTTTCACATCCTTGCAATTTAATGAAGTTAAGATGAAACGATATAATTGTTATATTTGATTAATTACGAAAATTTTATAATTTCAAATGACTATATGGGAATGGATCATAATTTAAGAGGTTCCAATGAACTTAAATAGAAATAATTAGTGGATATTTTATGCAAAGTACATGTTTTTTAAATTTAATGAGTATTTAAATAAGTATGTATTAAAAGAGAATATATTAAAAGTTTAAAGAAAGACATGCATACTTAAAACAATAAATTTTCAATTTTGAATAATGTTAACAATGGAAAGTATCAATTTTTAAGAAAAAAAATGTAAATAACTAAGATAATATTTAATAAACGTGTTAGAACGAGCGGAAGATTTAATATTCTAAATAATATATGAATTTTATTTTATATTTAATATTCTATTTTTAAGAGATATAATTAAATTACATTGATATAAAAATAATTAATCGTTGAATAATTATAGAGAAAAAAAGGGTAATTACACCTTTCACATTTAATTTTATGAGAGTAATCTCAACATCTATAAATAGAATATAAGGGGGTGTAGGGTCTCTTTAATTGTGTTCTATTTTTTGTTCTTAAAACTATTTTGTCCAATAATTAATGAAATATGTGTTTTTTATATTTTTTATATTTTGAAAATTTAAAGTCAAACCGTCAAAGTACAAAATAAAAACAACTTAGACACATTTTCTAAATTTGATTATAAAAACAAAAAAAAAAGTTACAATTTTTAAAACATTTTTTATGACTTATCAAATATATTTTTATTTTATTTTTTTATTATGAAAATTAAAAAATTATTTTTCAAAACAGATTTCAAACAGTTACTTAGTTTCTGCTTGACACTCTCATAATCAAAAAAGAGTTTCCGTAGTGTATTTTATTTTTCAGTGCCTTTGTTTTCAACTTTTGTCATTCTTTGGCTTTTCATTATTGTATTAATTAAGTACATCATTTCATTTTAGTAAGTTATTTATTTCCAAGCTCTTATTTTTTATTTTAGTTGTTGTTTTGTCCCACATTGACGCTTTGGTGTTGTTGAAAAATAAACAATACGTGCAAGTAAATGATTTCCCATATGATTTCGGAAGCTATTAGAAACAACATCTGGAAGCCTATGAAGGTTGGGAGATCTGGCCCTTCTATCTCCCATATGATGTTCGCAAAAGATCTGGTATTCTTTGGGGAAGCTACGCTTGAGCAGCTGGACACCATGCTAGGCTGCCTTAAAAAGTTCTATGACATATCGGGTCAGCTTGTTAGTTTGAGAAGTCATTGATTTATTTTTCTAGGAACACTGATCAGGTGTTAAAGGATAATATCATCCAAGCTAGTGGGTTTAAACCTGCTGATTCGCTGAGCATATACATTGGCTTTATGTTATTTCATGGTCAGGGCAAAAGGAAAAATTTTGCCATGATTCTTAATCGTGTAAAGCTATGTCTCTCTAGCTGGAAGAGTAACCTTCTTTCATTTGCGGGGAGATCAACTCTTGTCAAGTCTGTGATTAGTACCATCCCTACCTACCAGATGCAACATGACTCCCTTCCTGTTTCTATCTGCAAAGAGATTGATCAGATTCAGCGTGGATTCATCTGGGGAGACAACAAGGAGAAAAAGAAAGCCCATCTTATCTCCTGGGAGAAGCTTTGTAAGCCTAAGTCCGCAGGTGGATTGAGGATCATGAATCTTAGAGCTCATAATGAAGCCTTTCTCTTCAAGGTAGCGTGACAAATCCTTAATAATAGTGAGTCCCTCTAGGTACAAGTCCTTATCGGAAAATATGTGAGGAACATGGATATTAGGAGGCAAATAAAATTCCAAAGCTATGATTCCAATCTGTGGAAAAGCCTCTGCAGAGTCTGGGAGAAGTTCTTAGATAGCCTTAAATGGGAAGTTGAAAGTGGTAATGATACTCTCTTTTGGATTGACAATTGGACTAATCTGGATAGTCCCCTCAAAGACCTAGCCTTGTGTCCCATTAGTCACAATGACCTACAAACTAAAGTTGTGGATCTCGTGGATAACCTTACAGGAAGCTGGCGTCTAGATCTCCTCCTTGGTCATTTTCCCTCAAAAGTGGTGCAACATATTCGTACTATTATTCCTCCTTGTGTTGAGAGGGGCCCAGACCGTTTAATTTGGAAGAATAAAGTGAAACCAAGAGGGGTGGTCAGGTTTGCCTATCAAAGAATCATAAAGTTTGATTTAGAAACCCCTGACACCATATGGAAGACTATTTGGAAGTGGAAAGGCCCATTAGGCTCAAAACTTTTGTGTGGATGGTCCTCCATGGTCATTTGCTCACCAGAGATATTACCTCTAAGTGGGGTGGATCCATCTGTTGCCACAATTGTCCTCAAACAATTGAGTATCTTTCCCATGTGCTTCGGTGTTGAAATAAGGCTAAGGCTATATGGGACTACTTGGTTTGCGGGCAACCTACACCGTAACTTTCTTTCCATGCCTTTGGAGGAGTGACTTAGGAAGAACATTAATAATGTTTGGAATCATTCTCAAGTTTTGGACATGCGTGATATATTCTTCTCCACCTTTTCTTGCTTCATCATCACTATTTGCTCCTATATTAATGACATCTACTAGGCGGTTCCAAGTCACGTTCATACCCAT